ATAGTTTGGCCGGTACAGAGCTTTAAAGCTCCGAATATCCTCCACGGATTTATGTATATGCGCAGTGTGTATAGACTTTTGAAATAGCCTATTTCATTTTTTTTATTATCTAGGTTTATATTTTTGAGGTTGCTGAATTCAGATCTGTTGTTAGATTTTCAAAATTGACAGTTGGCAGCTGTCAAATAGCTGTCAATGTGCTATAATAAAGCCAAAAACTTGTTTTTTTATGTTTTATCTTTCTTTTTTTTTTAGTTCGATAAGTTCAAAGACGATATCAAATCAATAACAATGACTATCGGCAGCTGTCATTTAGCTGTCAACAATTCTTCAAAGTCCGGTAATAAAGTCAAAAAATTATTTTTTGTTTATAACTTCAAGTTTTTTAGATAAGTGAATATAAATATGATATAAAATTATGTAGTCATCAGCTTACAGCTGTCAACAAGCTGTCAACTAACTGTCAAAATGCAATAATAGAGCAAGTAACTTATTTTTTGTGCTTAACTTTGTGGATAAGAAATCAAACATGATATAAGTTTATGACATCACTTTTGAACTCAGTGATCTAAGCAACTTAAAGCTTTTTAAAAAAAGTAACTTTTTGACTTTATTATTGCATTTTGACAGTTAGTTGACAGCTTGTTGACAGCTGTAAGCTGATGACTACATAATTTTATATCATATTTATATTCACTTATCTAAAAAACTTGAAGTTATAAACAAAAAATAATTTTTTGACTTTATTACCGGACTTTGAAGAATTGTTGACAGCTAAATGACAGCTGCCGATAGTCATTGTTATTGATTTGATATCGTCTTTGAACTTATCGAACTAAAAAAAAAGAAAGATAAAACATAAAAAAACAAGTTTTTGGCTTTATTATAGCACATTGACAGCTATTTGACAGCTGCCAACTGTCAATTTTGAAAATCTAACAACAGATCTGAATTCAGCAACCTCAAAAATATAAACCTAGATAATAAAAAAAATGAAATAGGCTATTTCAAAAGTCTATACACACTGCGCATATACATAAATCCGTGGAGGATATTCGGAGCTTTAAAGCTCTGTACCGGCCAAACTATCCATTTTTGAGCTTTGTGGCCATTGAGACAATTGACCAGTATGATGAACTCTATCACATATCAAAAATTCAGCGAATTTGACCGGGACCCAATTTCCATAAGATTTGTGCGGGGTCCTTTGGATGTTTCGCCACAATTTTAGAAGTTATCATTTACCTGGATCGAAAGGTAAAAGAAATTCTCTCGTGATGATTCTTTATGGATTCAGAACAGAAATTAATAAAGAAAAAACATGAAAAATCCTGTTTACCAAATTTAGCGCGAATGGATTATTTTCTGAAAATTTGGTCGGCCGACTTGGATCCGCAATGGTGAATTTTGCAAAGTTGACCACGGATCCGTGATCAGCGAGCCCTAAAACCCCCGTATACCAAATTTGGCACGAATGTTATTTTTTGAAAATTTGTTCGGCCATCTTTGATCCGCCATCTTGAATTTTGCAAAATTGACCTCGGATAAGTGGTCAACGACCCCGAAAACCCCCGTACACCAAATCTGACGCGAATGGGTTAATTTTTGAAAATTTGGTGGACCATCTTGGATCCACCATCTTGAATTTAGCAAAATTGACATTGGATTCGGGATCAGCTACCCCGAAATCTGACATTATTTGGCCTGTTTACTTTGAGGTTAGAAAAAGAACCATCAATTTTGACCGCGGATTCACGTTCGGCGGGGTCTTAACCATATAAATGATCATTTGAATATAGAAAACAATTTATTTTTTATTTTTCCTAGCACCTTTTCGTGAATTTTTGCTATTTTTGACCTGTATTTTTAGGTTAGGAAATTCCTGTGATGTGATAGCTCATTTCTGACACGTGATCAGGAGGCAAAAATATATGGATAACATATGTCGCATGAAAAGTACAGACAACATTTTTTTGAGTGGCTGTGTAATCATTCAAAAGTATTGTTTACACTGAGTACCAATTGACCGATAATGAATAATTATTTGTCTATTTAAAATTATACTTGCTCAACGGGAAGAGCGAACCCTACAAATACAATACAAAAAAGAAAAACATAAAAACAAAAAAAAAACAGGCATAAACACTTAAATAATAAATATGCAAAAGTGCAATATTATGACAAATCAAATCTTGCAACCTTAGCCAGAGCCAGAATATACGCCATTAATTTTAAAAGAAAGTTATCTACGTTGAATTGATTCTAAAATAAGAGATTGATTTTCATAAATCGGGTACTTAGTACGCACCAAAGGAAAGTACAATGCTTTTAACGCTGCCCCATTTGTGAAGCTTTTACAATTTCTAATAATGAAGCCAAGTACTTTACTCGATGATTTTGATGTGATGTGTGATTGATGTGTTCCGAGAAACTTAACTAACGGTCAAAATATATTCCCAAGTCTTTAGTACCAAAGTACCTCTCCAAGATGACATCATTCAATGTACAATCAAATAAAATAGGACTTTTCGTTCTAGAGAAACTAATCGCCTTATATTTATTAACATTTAACCTCCACCAATTTGCTACTACATTTGAGACTGCAAATGCAAACCATCCGTAATGTTATTTATATTACAATAAATTTTAAGGTCATCTGCATGAAGCAGCCTATGACAATCAAGACAATTCATATGGAGTTCGTCAATAAAAAGCGAAAACAAGAGAGGTCCAAGATTTGACTCTTGCGGAACTCCTGATACAGCTAAGAAAGGCCGAGTCCCAAACCCACCATGTGCAATATAATAAGATCTATCTATGAAGTACCAAAGATGTGGATAAACCAAATTCCTTCAATTTGACCAACAATATATTATGACTAATGGTGTCAACAGTAATAGCGATAATTATTTTCATTCCTTATATATTTTCAAATCCTCTTAGATTTCTAAACTCAAATAAAAACTTCATAAATTTGAAACTCTAAGCCCATTCAAAATAATATTCTGTATTCATCGAATTTTATTACTGGAGTTGTGGTGCTGCCTAAGATTAATGAAACAGAAATTTTACAAAATTCAAACTTTAAGCCTCTATAAAATCAGTGGTATATAAATGAATACATATATTTATGTATTTATTTATAAAAACATCGACAAATTGCTTTTGTCATGCACGTATTTCAAAAAAGTGACTAGAATATTTAAACTATTTTACGAAATGTAGTAGTTAATTTAGGATTCTCAATTTTGCAAAAAAAAAGTGAGAACTGCTTTGTAGCTCGAAAACGATAAACCCCCTTCTATATACTTTCACCACCTACCCCTAAAATCGCAAAAATAAAAAAAAACACCGAAAATGCCACAACCATCTCAACTGCACAACCTTATAGACATGTCAACACTACCAAGTCCCTATTACAACCATTACCATCGCAGGTGAAATTTTGCGGTGTACAAAAGTAGCTAGGAATTTGGACTATTTATTAGACACGAAGTTACGTTTTAAACCGCATATTGTATTCAAATGGCTTATGGTAATCTGAAAATGTTATATTCAAGTTGTCATATTCTTTCACGTAAACTTAAAATTTAACTATTGGATGCTTTGGTTCTCAGTCAATTTAATTACTTAGAAATCGATAGAATCGAAAAGTTACAAAAATCTTGCTTAAGGTTCATTTATGGCATCAGAACGTTTATAAATTAAATGACTCTAAATGGATAACTATGCAGAAAAGAAGGAATCTTCATTCTGTCGTATTATTTCACCGTTTATTATTTTACGTGTCCTCTATATTTAATAAATAAAATAACATCGTACAGACGTCCATACGCTTAATTTACGTTATAGGGGATTTATATCACCCTTCCTCCACCCCACGTTTTCATAGATCCTCAATTTTTTGTGGATGTTCTTCATATAATATCTATAAATTAGATAATGCCATTCCAATAGATATTAAATTATTGAATCCTCCAGCTTTTAAAGTTAATTTTAAGGAATACATTTTTAGTCATGCACAACGATACAAGTATTCTCATAAATTTTTACTTATATCACCTCTTTTCATAGATCCTCATTTTTTGTAGATGTTTTTGATATAATATTTATAAGTTATATAATGCCATTACAATAGATATTAAATTATTGAATTCTCCAGCTTTTAGACTTAAATTTAAGGAATACATTTTTAGTCATGCTCAATGAGACAAGTATTCTTATAAATTTTTAATTTATGCATTTTTCCTTATTTGTAGTTTCTTGTTCCTTCCAATAATAAGTCTACCTTGTAGTGCAGACAAATTTATTTATGGATATTTAAGATATTCTAGTATTGGAGCTAAATTTTAAACTTCTTTTAAATTGCTTTAGCTCCAATTTACAATGTATATTAATGTAACCATTGTTTTCTTTTTGTTGTTACTGTTTGTACTTACATTGTAAATAAACATTATGATTATTGTTATTATTGATATGGATGATCCGAGGCGTAGTACTCGCGACATTGACCGACAGTATCGTGTGGTGCGTACTACGGGAACAATAGTACACCCCTATCATGTACAAAAGGGTCAGGCGTTAACTAACAATGATTTTCAACCCCGTGTGGAATTTTGATAAGTAATTCGTTTATTCATTTAATTTTTGTGTTATTTTTAAACGAAATTTGAAAAAATTTCAGTATTTTTGAACACAAAATTTAAACCGTTAAAACCACCATCAGCGCTTTCGTAATGCGACGCGCGTCAGCTTTGATATCAAAGGTGCAGCTGGCTGCCGCACCAGGGATGGCTTTAAATTTGTTTAAACCTTCATGTGAATTTTTTTTTTTTTCAAAGTTACCTATTTTCGTGCCCTCTATCACACACTTATTTCATAAACACTTTGTATAGTTCCTCCACATTTCCCGTAAAATAGGTAATTAAATATATGACTTTTTATGTGCATTTATACCATAACTGCTTAGAAAAGTTATATTTAAATTACTTTCTCTCATATTTATTATTTCCGTGGAAAGAGAGCTACATAGTTTATAGGTTTTTAAAAAATGGATTGCTTTGCTAGGGTCGTGTTCTTTCACCCGTACTTAATCCCTTTTCCTATAAATTTGTTTCTCAGTACATAAAAATTTTAGTACGCCAACGAGACATGAAGTAAAGGCAAAGCCGAGAGATTGACATGATTATTTATCTTTCACCGTTTACCCTGTCACGAGGGCGTTGTTAGTGTCGTGGAATGTCCTGCCATGCACATTTGCATCTTGTTTTTTCCCCATCTCCATTACTCGAGTTTCGGAGTGCGGATCGTCCTCATTTAAATTGTAAATTCATCTGCGGTAATTAAGTGCTCGGGATCGAATGGTGTGCAGGTTTTATGCAATTATATTTGCCAACCGAAATGGCCGTGATATAATGGCATTAGGTATTTGTCTACTTTACCTCGTACTTTAACCAGATTAATAAAAAAATTTTTAAGAATTTGTGATAAATTTTGATAGACGAAAGTGGAAAATCTATCGAGTATAATACTAGGTACAAAGAAGTTCATAGGTACAAAAATTGTATAGAATTTATTTAAAGGCCTACCTAATTTTGCATTTTAACCAAATAGGTATGTTTTAAGACCATTGCAGATAGATAGATAGATAAATAGATATTAGTCCAACTAGAGCATTACAGTTTTGCTATGGGATATGTCAAGTCTACTTAATACAATATAATTGCATGTTAAAAAAGGCATATAGGCCGATCCACATTAATTACAGTACAAACAATAAATAAGTAAAATAATAGATACAATATAAACATATGATAAAATGCAACCTATAACAGATTAAAATTAAAATAAGTTAACAGCTATTGTCAAAAAATTCCTGAACGGAGTATGCGCAAATTTTTAATAAGTATATTTTCACATTTTTTCTAAATAGATTAAAGTTATTTGTGTTTTTCAAATGTGAGCTTTCAAAGTCATGCCGAGGCGTTTGAAGGGGATACAAAAATTGTGTTTGTTACGGTTATCATGACAGTAGACAGATACATTGGTAATAAAACGTTCTTTATTTTTATAAATATGTAGGTAACAAATNTATTATTATTATTATTATTATTATTATTACTATTATTATTATTATTATTATTTTCTTTGCCTTTGAAAACATTACATTTATTTACACACAAATTCACTCCCTGTTCTATATGGCTTGAAAAACTTAGTTAAGTTAGCAAGTTCACTTTGTATATTTATAAATATAGTTATTAAAATGAAAATATGACATATTTTTTAGGTTACCCACACAAATTTAATGTTGTATCGCTAATATTGTTCAATTCTGTTTTGGATATAAAAATCATCAGTGAAAATGCATTTCGTTTATTAGTGAGAATTTGCGTATTTATAAATAAATCAAGAAAATATTAACAAATAAACTCTTAATGAATAAAAATAAAAACTTGTTGAAAAAACTGGCAACTATTTTTTTCTTATTTATTGGGTTTTTTGCCGCTTGTGAGAAAAAAAAAATTAAAAATAGTGATATAAACCTTTGCTCTAAAAGAATCAGTCAAGGGTTTTACGAAAATAGTTTTACTTATAACCAAAAATCTCACAGTGAAAAAAGCAGACATAATACAGAACCTTCTAAATGATTACAATCGGCGGAGTTATTTCAATAGTCACATTACTTTGATAAGCTGTATGTTTATCGTTTCTGGTTGAATTTTTGATGTCTTACCACAGTTGACTATCTCTAATTGTAACAATCGGCCAAACAAGGTGTCATAGCAATAAGAAAATCAGAAAAATTGGGTATCTATACGTATTTCATGGACCCAATTTTTTCTTTACTTTGCAATCTTTGTTGTAATACGCATTTTATTTTACATCTCTTTACATTACAAACTGATTATTAAAAATGTGAAAAAATTTAATCTATTTTATGAGGTTAATACCCATGCATTTACATACATCTTATCAAAAGTAAATCAAAAGCTACAGGAATTTACAAAACAGTTGTTATTACACATGACTGTGATGCCGAGGAATGTATTCTCAAGGAATGTTATAAACAAGAAGTAATTTTATGCAAATTACTTTCACAAATATTTCCACTTTGGGCTCTATTTACAGGCGACATATTTTTATATGACAGCTCACTAGATAATGTGTAACTACTGTGATAAATACGTACCATAAAATTGAAGGAAATAAAATTACTTTCTTTACGAAATTACAGTTATAATAATTAATAGTTGTATTATAGAGATATACATAATTTAAATATTAATAAAGTCGTACGTTGAATTATTAATTGAATAAAATGGTGCCAAATTATACTCACAAATTTATTTTTGCATATTACTCTGGTTACATGGTAATAATATGTAGATATGTTACATCATATTTCTAATTAAATAAAAAACCAGTGATTGTAATATTATTGTAGAATGTAATAGTGGACATAAATGATTGTTACGTTAAAAAAAAAGCTGAAAACAAATTATCGTCTGGTAAAAAATCAATGTTTTTTCAAATAAACTGACAAGTAACAAATAAAATACTTATATAAAAAACGGAAGAAAATGAGTTCTACGTATTAATGGTCTATAATTAGAAAAAAATCCCCTTCTGATTTTTCTTTTTTTTTCAATTATAGGGTGGTCCATTTTAATCTATCCATACTAATATCTCCGACAGATTAGGTTATAGCGAAATATAAATTTAAATATATATTAAATCAATAAAGCGCCTTCGCAAAAACTCTCGTGGACGACACTGTGCCGGCAAGATGCCATATCACTGCAATTTCACAGTTATGTGCATTCACTCTATAGGTGCATGTTAATGGCACAAAAATCAATACAAAGGAAAACTACCAGAGCAAAAACTGGCGGGTCAGGAAGTTATAAGACTTTTGCATGTAGCTGCTAATTATATTTTTTTTTTCTTCCAATATAATGTTCTTGTTCGATTACTGTAATTTCCACACAATTAAGTAAAATGTGAAATGACTATTTCTTTACAAATTCAATCGCATACCATAATGGAACATATTTTGTTCATTACAAGGTTAAGAGTTTACAAAAGTAAAAACAAACGTTAATCGGAATAATTATCACTTAACGGATTTTAAAATGAGAGGAACTAATGTTTTCATTTTTTTTTTGTTAAATGTCTCGAATTAATGCTGATATGAGCGCAAAGGAAGTTCTTTTGTTAAAATATGCATTGATTTCAATGGGAATAATGGTATAAACAAACATAAAAATTTAATATTTTTTTGCATAAAAATCAATTATCTTGTCTGTGAAAAAAAAAGACCTACAATATTAGGTACATATTGCATCTTTTATCCATTTTCTGAAACCAGCAACTTTTTAAGGAAACATTTCGAAGCACACACTTATTCTTGGAACATTCTCTATTTAGAATTAATTGTATCCCAACCGTGTATCTACAGCTTTTTCTAGAACGAATTGTTTTCAAACGACGCAATTCCACCCAAAATCAATAGTCGGAATCAGACGTCAAACTTAATGCTTTCTTTTCTGCCAAAGAACATGTAATTTGTAGAACTTAGGAATTTTATGACGACTGAAATTCAATACTCATTTACATCCACTTTGTGGCTTGTTCACGTAGAACAGTTACAATACGAAGGCAATCAATATTTTATGTATGTGTTAATATCAAATTGTATGTAATAAAAGATGTATGTACTTACATTATTATGGGTCAATTTTTTTCGTTTTTTTACAATTTCCTTGAGAGGATTTATTTGTTTAAATATTTATCATGTATTTGTTGGTTTTTTGATTTTGTGCAAAAAAGAGGTATACGATATTAATTTTGAATTGCATTGTTACACTGTGGGAAAACATGCGTTTTAAAGTTTAGGATTTAGATCTATTTTTCGGCTGTAAGCATAAATACACAGTTGATAGACCGGCTTACCCTTAAGCCTGCTGCAGATGATATGGCCACTTGCCAAACATTCGTCAAACATAAATGTGTCTATCGCTGCTGTTATTGCGAAACCTCGTTCTTAAAAAAACTGTAACTATACACAAACGCAGAGATAAAAACAGTAAAAACTGACAGAGGAACAAAAACATGTCTTTCCGTAGATTGGTGATGTACAATATGTCCATAATCGTTCACATATCTCTAGTGATTCCATTGATATTTATCCTGTCTGATGATATAAATAAGTTTTAATAGACTCAAATATTAAAAATAAGAATATTTACTAATTAAAATGATCGTCAATATCTAAATTTTTGATAAATACATAAGAGATGTAAGACGAAAAAAAAATGCATATGTGTATATTAGAGATTATGTTGTAATTGTCCTTACACACGCAAGTATAAAGACAAAATCACAAAAACAATTAAATAAATTCTCAGTAGTAATTCAAGTGCAGCTAATTTAATTAATCTGCACATTCTTTTAAGTACTGAAACTTTTCAGTTTGTATATGAATATATATGTGACATTAACAGTACTGCACAAAAAATATATATTTGTCAATATTCGCTAAACAAAGTTAGCCATATGTATACAGGGTAGGCCATTAGTGTGAGAAAGTAGAATAACTCCCTTGTTATTCATAATACAGACAAAAAGTTTATATAAAAGTTGTACAGAATCAAAAAAGCTAAAGGACGAAATTTGAAACACACACGGCGATGAGTAAAAACGGGACACACCAAATATTACATTTTATAAATGGAACACCCTGTATATTTTTAAACATATGGATTTCTGAGAAAATTCTATATATAGCAATATTAACATTTTAGTGCGGGGTTGCCAAGTTCTGTAGAAAATTCTTCCAATTGTGGAAAAAAACATGACCTCGAAGAAGTTGTATTATCTTTCAACTACTATCACTTGGAGCAAAAATATTTGACAGAGTTATAGACAAATGTTAGACAAAGACTTCTATATTAGCTAATATCGATATTTTGCACAGGGCATTTTTTATAATACGATCATTTTTAGAAAGTTTAAACTTGATTTTCTAAAATTTTTCAAATTATTTTATTATTCTATTTTATTTACATATCGGTCCACTTTAACTTTTATGAAGCATGTTCTATATCTAAAATTGTTAGTTTTTAAGATATAACATTTCTAGAAAAACCTAATTTTTATTATTTTCCGTTCCACGAAATGTGTTTGGAAAAACCGTCACATTGTGTCAACTTGTCAGTTCATAATTTATCATTCCATTTTTAGTTGAATTTATTAGTTAATATTTATTTGTGGGATTCTATAAAATAATAAAAATTAAGTCTTTTCAGAAATGTTGCTATATTTTAAAAACTAACAATTTTAGATATAGATCATGCTTAATAAAAGTTAAAGTGGACCGATACGAGAATAAAATAGAATAATAAAATACAGGGTGTTCCATTTGAAAAATATGCAGAGTTTGCTCTTCTGAAACATCCTGTATAGACCTCATTTACGAAAACGACCCGTCGCAATTTATTTATAACCAGTGTATTCGTCAAAATTGCACAAATTCGGCTACAGAAAAACATAAATTTGACCCCACTAATATTTTTGCGTCATTTAAAGTTATTTTTACATTGTTTTAAAGGTCTTAAGAACGAGTTGATATGCGCAATTTTTTGTATTATACAACATTATTCTTATTATTCTTTTTACAATGTAGAGGAATACCTCACTAGCGATCTCTTGGACTGGCGTTAGGGACCATTTTAAATTTTAAATTTGTTTTACATGTATTGTCGGTTTTTAAAGCTATTTCTTATGTATACCTATCTATATACTATTATTTGTAGTTGTTGTAGTTTATTAGTTTATTAGTTGTATTTAATTGCTTGTTTTATATGTTTGTCTGTATTTACATTTACGCTTGACAATTTCTCATATTTACAGTAGGTAAATCTATAGAAAATAAAGATTATTATTATTATTATTATTATTATTATTATTATTATTATAATATTGAAGATATTAAGGAAATAAAAATATTTTTAAGTAATTTATAAGAAAATTTCTAATTTTACAGTGAAAATGTAATGTTTTTATTAAACTATATAAATTAGAAATATAAACGAATTTTCATCGCTTAAGATTTAAGTTAGAAGCTTAATCTTGAATATCATATTTCTTTAATTGGAGAGTTTCTCAATTTTATCATTAACAGTGATATACCTCTTTTTGGTTTCAATTAAAATAAGGGTGATAATCATCAAACTTTTAGGTCGAAACTAAATGCAAATATTGCTTCTTATTAAAGATAAATTGATATTTCAACACTTTTTAAATGCAAATTAAATGTTATAATTAACTATTATCCCAATAAGCTCAATTTAAAGCTCCTTGATTTCATTCATGAAAAAGTCCAAAAATTAAGATTATAATAAAAAAGATAAAAATAATAGAATAATTTATATTAGAAATTTTTAAAGTAATAATTAATGGAAATAATAAAGTAATTTCTACATCAAAAATTAAAAAAATTACAGCAATTAAAAAGAATTGTAATGAAAAGGGTAATCGAGCTGTATTTTTAGGATCAAATCCACATTCAAATGGTGATCTTTTTTCTCGATCAGAAAATCTTTTTTTAGAAATTAAATTTAATAGAATAATTAATATAAAATTAATTAAGGTGATTATAATAGTTAGTAAAAAAATAATTTTAATTATTTATACTAGTTTTCTAGATTTTTTGATTGGAAGTCAAATATAATTATTATATTATATAAATTATTTATCTACCTCATCAATAGATAGAAATATATAGGAATAATCATACAACATCAACAAAATGTCAGTATCAAGCAGCAGCTTCGAATCCAAAGTGATGAATACATCTAAAATGTCCTAAAATATGACGAATTAGACATACTAATAAAAAAGTAGAACCAATAATTACATGAAGTCCATGAAAACCAGTTGCTATAAAAAATGCTGATCCATACACTGAATCAGCAATAGTAAATGGAGCTTCAATATATTCATAAGTTTGTAAGAGAGTGAAATATATTCCTAATATTACAGTTAAAATTAATCTGTTTAATCTTTGGGTATAATTATTTTCTATTAGTCTATGATGAGCTCAAGTTACTGTAAGTCCTGAAGTTAATAAAATTAATGTATTTAATAAAGGAATTTCAATTGGATTAAAAGTTTGAATTCCTTTGGGGGGTCAAATTATTCCTAATTCAATGCTAGGAGATAATGATCTATGAAAAAATCCTCAAAAAAAAGATAAAAAAAAGAATACTTCAGATGTAATAAAAAGAATTATTCCTCATCGTAGTCCTATAGTTACATTATATGTATGATGTCCTTGATAGGTTCTTTCTCGTGTAATGTCTCGTCATCATTGATATATAACTAAAATTAAAATGGTAAGGCCTAGAAGTAATAGGTTATTTTCATATAAATGGAATCATTTAATCAATCCTATTATTGTAGTGAAAGTTCCTA